TACGCTCGTGCGCATGCTCAATGTCTTATGCTTATGTCGAGACCGTTCTCCCTGGCGCATATGATTCTCATGCTTGTGCTTATGCTATGCTTATGCGCTAGTGAAATGCACGCTTAATGTATTCCCTTTACTAAATGCAAATGTTGTATTAATTATATGACAACGTCTTTGCAAGGTGTATACATCAATGTGTAAATATCTTAATGTCGAATAGACCAAAAATATAAACCATTTAGGGCCGATTAATCAGAAACAGAAACCAGTTCACACTTGACATTAGAATGACCTAATGGTTGTTTTGCTTTCCTTTCCTTGTGAACCAAATAGTTGTGACCGAGCAGAGTTATGTCAGGAATGTGCACTTAAGAAATTACTCTACGACATTTTCACGTGAAAATGTACTTAGCTGACGGTACTCTCGCTTCTGATTAGTCAATGAAGAACCAACATCTTCCAAACATTTCTAGCCAATCTACATGTACGCTCTCACTGCTTTCGCACTGTAAGTGTCATGAAGCTTACTGAAAACCTTCGCAAATGCTTTGCGCAAAAAAATGTTGAAAATAATAAGATAAGAAATAATTAAACTCAACGATACACTACTCTATTTTGTACGAGCGAATTCCAATCAAAATATCCAGACATGTTAGATATGGACGATCAAATCTGACGGTTGATTGTAGAAAGTTTTGATTCCAAAATTGGAACTATAACCTCAAGAAGTATATATCCAAAAACACTCCTTTTTTGGTGGACATCTGTGCTATGATGTAGACTATTACTAAAACATTGTGGTAAAAATATAAACTTTATGAAGGTTAACTTTTGCATATCAATTGTGAAGGGCATACATTACACATAGTTTGCTTGATTGTTCGCTGCAAGCTGTGACCATGCGGAGTTTTATAGGAAAATGTGAGCCAAAATAAGACATTCATTCACTAAAGACATTTGGTTATTCATTTACTTATATGTTGTTCTCTTTGATTGTGATATTTATTCATAAACCATTTATTTGTAATGATAATATCATTTTAACAGGTGATCGTATTCTGGCTGTAAATGGGAATAGTCTAGAACAAGTCACACACGAGAAAGCAGTATCTTTGCTAAAAACCACTTCATCTACTGTAGAATTGGTCGTCTCTCAAAGTCCTCACAATGTCTCTGCTTTAGGTGAGTGCTGTCCCTCTGTTAGAATTCATTGGGATTTGTGTTTGTGTATTATTATACGGTATTGTACTAATTCAAGATATCTTGTCACGGTCAAAAGGTTCATTATACACTTAATTCAACTGTTTGGTTTATTGGCAATTTTGGCAAGCTCAAGAGCATTTGTAGATAGAGTACAAACACTAAATGTGGGCGACACTTAGCACTATTTGCTGAACACTCGGAAAGCAATACAATTGGCATAATTTAGGTGATTTATGTCGCACACTTTTAGTACTTGAACTCTACTCTTTACGAACATTTAAATGAAAGAAAGAATTTGTCTATGTGAGTTTTGTGAGTTTCGTACTTACGGTGACATTCATCCAAAATTTCATTTACAATTTGCTATTAGTCCCAGCCTTTTTTAAAAGTCTTCGCAGTCTACCTTTTTGAACGACACAAGTATAGTCTGCGACGCAGACAACAGTCTGTTAGAGCAGAGTTACTCCTCTACTAAATCTGTTTAGAGGTTATATTTAGCAGCGATGATCAACTAATTATACATGTTGGTCTATGTCGGTAGATCTATCTAATATCCCGGGTGCATCATCAACAAATGAAGAACCTCAAACACTGGAAGTAAAACCTCTCATCACCCCTCCCCAACATGGTAAACGATATCACGTAGAATCACCCTGGTCATCAAACACCCAGTCACCCACTGAATCACCGGCATCTACTTTCAACTTTCCTTCTGAAGACGAACCTGTCACTATGATTTCCAAGTCTATCTCCTCGTTGGCTGCCAATCCACCAAGTTACGAAGATATTGAGGTTAGTATAACGGGGTATTAACACTAAAAGAAGCCAACAACAAAATTTCAATGAAGTTTGATTTAAGGACTGCACTTCTAAAAACGTTCTAAAAACATAATCAAATAGGGTAAATGTAATGTAAGGGTATATTTTCTTCAAACGCCCTCAAGGCGTATACCAAAACCTAGAATGTACATTCCCTTTTCATTGGTAGCCCTATTCAGAGTTACTGGCTAAGCTGCTCCTTACTGGCTAAGCGAGAGATACTCATCTGAAGGTTTTATTATTATTCTATCCTTTTGTCAGTCACCTACAGCCAAACGTAAAGTGGACAAGCTTGAAGTGGAAGAGAGCGTACCAGAACCTGTAACCATGACAACTGCACATGCATTAAACTCAGCTCCCAATGACATAACAGCACGAACCAAGTTCACCCCGCCATTGGCTAAAACTAGACTAGACTCGCTGGATTCTCACCAATCAGAAATGAGCAGTGAATCATACACTGCGGGGTCTGAGAGATCAACAGATCTGGACATTTCGGTTAGTAATATGTACATTAGCGGTAATAATAGGAAATCACATAATAGAAAATTACCAGTTGAATTAACCAAGTACTGCTAAATAGAGCTAAATAATACAGTATTGGAGGTCTTTTGGCCGGCTTGTGTTCGTGCACATGTAATTTCAATTTGATGCAAAATATATGATATCTTGCAGGACAAAAGTTTTATTGTAGAGTTGGAGAAGGTTGATGGTAGCCTGGGACTCAGTGTAACGGTAAGCGTTATCAAAAATCGAGAAGAGAACATTCTGAGTGTGACAATAAATAGAAGTGACTTGACTGAGACAAATTTACCTCAAGTCTGCTTAGGCAGCCCAGCCATTTAGCTTTTATCCTTATGTATATATTTATCTCCTGTCTGCATTTACAGGGTGGCATCAATACGACCGTCAAACACGGAGCTATCTATGTCAAGTCATTAATATTGAACGGCCCTGCGGACCGGAATGGTCGTGTGAGGGTTGGTGACCGTATATTGGAGGTCAATGGTATCAGCCTTAAGTCAGTGACTCATAAACAAGCTGTGGAGATCATAAAACGAACACCTCAACACTGCAAAATACTTATTGATCGGTCGATACATGTCAATGTACCTACATCAATAAAAAAGACGAGGAACCCGACACCTGACGAGCCATTTGTGGTCGAGTTGAGAAAAGGTATTGGTGGATTGGGTCTGAGTTTGGTGGGTGGACGAGATGCAGACCCTCAGCATGGAGGTAAGAACGTTTGAAGAAGTCTGGACCTACAAAGTCAACAAACGTTTACCATTTCTTCATTTGTCAATACGTTGCTTAACAAAGCCTTGATACATGTTAGTCACATGTTATGCCTGTATAGTATGGATTGGTATGATACATTGCTTATCTTGCAGGACTTCTTCGTATCAAGAAGATGTTCCCAGGTCAGCCTGCAGCCCTCAGTAACCAACTGCAACTAGGAGACATCGTGTTAGAGGTCAACGGTAACAGTCTGGAAAATGCTTCCCATCAAGACGCTATTAACATGATTCGTCATGAGCCTTCAATTGTACGATTATTAGTGAAACGCAGTCCTTCCTCTATTCCAGCGGTATTACTTAGTCGAGCATCCTCAGATGCTAGCGATATCGACCCTGTTCAATTACTGAACGATATACAAAGCAAGCTGAGAACTGATGCTGTGAAATCACCACCACAGGGATTGCAAACCAACGTGATTTCGGAGTCCCGACCTACTTCAAAATCAATCAATGAAAACATTATTTCGGATGAATTGCCGAGTCGGGAAGGTTTACCGGACCGCACTGAAGTATGGGTAAAACAAGAGTCGTCTAGTTTCATACCACGTGGTTTTGAGAACGATAAGCCATTAACACATCAGTTATCAGATCCATTGGCTAGGTTACCGAGGCATATCGAACACGAGCCAATCACAACTTCTAACTCTTTACCAGGGAAATTCGCCTTGAAATCTCGTTACTTTGACAAAGTTCCTGAAGAAAAGACGGTTGAGAAAAAAGAATCTGTTAGCTCGGTAACTAGTGACTTAGAGAAGAGAAACTCTGGTAAGATAGTGAGTGAGTCAGATCTGCCATCATTGGTAAAGAATTTAAAGAGCCAAGATAGTTTACACAGAACTATGTCACCTCAGGCTCCTCTTGCTGAATATGAAGAGAGTGATATTGATGAGGGAATCATGATCAGTGTTGATGATGGTACTATAATGAACATTAGCGATGATACTGATCACGATGATGACATTGAGAAAACATTGATTAACACTGATCTGGAGTTATCTTATGACAAAGATGATTCTACTAATATTGACAAGACTGATCTTCACTTTAGCGATAGTGAAAAGGAGACTATTACCACTTATGATAATACAACAGACGTTATGCTAACAGCAGCAGATCATATTCATACGATATCTAATGACCGCAATGATGATACTTTAGAATCAGTTCCTCCAGTGACTGTCAATTTGACTGATAATGATGATAACGGTTCTATAGATGACAATTCAAACAGCGATGAGGACAGCGATGAGGACATTGACTCAGTTTTGGAGCTTCTCGATGCTGCTCACAGAGACTCCAAAGATGAAACTGCGAATTTGTTAGAAAAGCGACAGGATGATAAGATTATACTAGACATACAAGAGCCAGAACAGGCACCACTTAATCATGCGGCTATCATGGAGAAGAAAAATGTATATTCAACTGAAAGTGAACCAGAACTAAAACTAACTGAAACGTCTTTCAGTGAAACATACGAAGATATTCCAGATAAATCGTTTAGTGTCGTTAATGGTGAAGTTAGTGACAGCGATGAAGAAAGCCATCACAGTGATGTCAATCAAGATAACCGTGATGAGACTATCAATCACGATTCTAATCAGACAGATAAGCCAATACTGACTCCTAAAGAAGAAGTAAGAAGCGATCTGAGTAGCTTATACAGTATACTTTAATGATATAGCAAATGGTTGGATTCGCACTGAGTGATGATGATCCTCTCCTTCTTTTCATGACCACACATATCCATTAATAATAAGTTCTGGAATGAGTGGCTTTGTGAAGAGGTGAATCTCTTAAATTACCTTCTAGTTTTAAAGGATCATCCTCGCTCTATATGCTTTGGCTTCGCCCGTGCCTGCACGTCCTCCCCGCCGGTCCTCACCCTAACCGATAAATACCTTCACTCCTCAACTTTTCCCTTCACCACTCATTGATTTTTGTTGGTTTTTCAGTTGTTGACCGTAGAGCTTGAAAAGCAAGATTCAGGTGGTCTTGGCTTCACCTTGGCCGGAGGTGCCGATACAATGGGGGGCTGCTTTGTCAGGGACATTATCGGTGACCCGGCCAAAGCAGATGGAAGATTACAGAAAGGAGATCAAATTTTACAGGTACATCGAGTGTTTCTTTTGTAACTTTACAATATCCAGAAATCTGTTTTAAATGTTGTTTAGCGTAAATCTGTTCGGTATACAGTGTGCTGATGGGTTATGTGGTTAAAACGTGACGTCAATGTGAGAGTAAAAGCACAAGTGATGCAATAATTTTAAAAAATAACACAACACTTATAAATTTCAAAGACATGTTTCGACTTTCATAAAGCCATCTTCAGTTTGAATTTGATTACATTTTTTACGATCAGTTATATAGTAGTTATATATAATGTGATTAAATTACAACGGTCAAAAGTAAACTAAAACAAGAGATGAGATAACAAGTGGATAGTGGTATTATAGTGTTTGACCTGAGTATTAAGTTCAGGTTTAAAATGATTGATAAAAAGAGCTTCTTTTGTCGAAACATGTCTTGAAATTTAAAAGTGTTGTGTTATTTTGTAAAATTATGACGTCAATGTAATTTAACCAAAGTTTCTACTAACTGTAACCATTGATTTTATTTCAACTAACCCTAAATCGTAACTTATAACCGTTATAAGAGTGATTGCCAGTTGTAATACTAAGCGTTTGAGGCTTGCTATGATCGTCTGGGTATGCGAAGTGTAGAACACTGTTATATGGTTACCGGACATCTTGACATCCTGTGCTTTGAGATAATGGATCTTCCAATGACTTTCTTTCCGCTCTTTTCTCTTCTGTTAAGCATCATGTCTTTCACAATATGACCGGTAGACAGTGACCAATCAGAAAAATGTTAGGCCATCGCTCGGCTGAGAGGATACCAGAGGGACACCAAAAGTGCAAATTGAAGTGCTGCAAGTGGAACAGGATAAGCTTTTCTCGAACCTGGACGATCATACAGCACTTTTATTCATAATAGTCAATGATATCGTGTGAACATTAGATAAACTAACCTAACCATTCTCATAATTATTGATCGTTAACTTGAAGGTTAGGAATAACAAAAATCGAATTAGAAGTTAATCTTTTTCTAATATATAATAATAACTGTTTATGTTGTCATTTCAAAAAGACTTACACACTGAACAGCGCGGACTAAATATTTGACTTGACTGACAATAATGCTTTAATCCATTAAACCATAAATACTATTGAAGGTGGATGATATTGATATACGACAAATGAAGCACATGGCAGCAGTCAATGTATTGAGAGCTACTAAGAAGAACGTCAAACTGATAGTTCTACGTAGACCTACCCTGGTGAGTTGGTTATAACAACAAGTTTGATTGGCTAACTTTTAACCAATAACAGCCATCATAACAAGTAATGATGTATAACATGTCAAATTCTTTAAAAATCTAAAACAGAGAAGTACTTCAATTTACACCAACTTCACATCCTTAAAATGTACCAAAGAGTTGGTTTGTCTTCTAATCTGAAACATATATTCTTTTTTTTATAGAAGGATGATGTCAGGGGGAGGGGGGATAGGGTGTGGTGGGGGTGGATGGAGAGGAAATTACATACATCAACTAACAAAGTTGATGTTCGCACTTTTAATAGGACCAAAATGTTACGTTATCGTTATATCCTACATATCATATTTTACTGTTCTCTTGTGATTAATCGTTGTTAGGTTGTTAATGATGGTCGTTCACTAGAGACTGTCAATCTCACTCGTACTAGTCGCGGTCGTATTGGACTACTGCTTACTGAAGGCGAAGAGGGAATTATACTTGTTGATGATGTGGTTCCTGGTGAGCCTGCTGCCGTAGAGGGTAACCTAAAACATGGCGATAGGATAGTGGAGGTATATTAGAGCCCTTCATTACACAGCTTATATTTTCAATTATATAATATGATGATAGTACGAGCAGCGTAATGCTTAGAGAAAAGGTTGCTGTGGTATATACTTGTTTTTTTGTTTTGTTTTTGTTTGTTTTGTTTTGTTTTTTGTTTTTTTGCTTTACGTTGCATGATGATTGCATTTTGTGACACTATTAAATGATTCTACCGCACCATATCTTCGTAGATTGCCGGTCGTAAAGTTGATGGTATCGGTTTCTTGGCCGCCAGGCAGTACCTTGACGCATCACGTCCCGTAGTGCAGTTGCTAGTAGAAAGGAGGAACCAGGCTGCGTTCTCCAAGTACAGCATGGGTGGAACCTCGCTGGAGCAAAGCTTTTCTTTATCAGAGGACCTTACAGCTAATCTTAGTCAGTCCGACGAAGACAATTCCGATCAGGAATCGGATATCGTGCAGGAAACGGTAATAGCACTGATAAAGTAGGGTTTGAATAAAAAGCTATGTCTTATTCTCCCTGTTTGCCGAGTAGTTTTTATTTTTTCTCCGCAATTACGGCTGAACTTGAAAACTCGACTACTTAATATAAACCACGCAGACTGGGTAGTAAATACGAAATTGTAGCTAACTCCTTGTAGGCACTATGTAAACAATACTCTGGTTGATCTTTTGGAGACTCGCACACCGACAACCATGCTGCGAGTCGCCAGCCAGTCATGCTGTTTTCTATCGCTACAACCATTTGGAAGCTTACATGCAAAGTGTAACGCTATAGCTGTATCCATAAACGTGGCGGACGTTTCACATTTTCCTTTGTTAATGACTCGCCCTCCCTTAAATTCCTCAAATGACTGATATTTAACGAGACAGTTTAACAGTTGATATTAAGAAAATGAGCGATTGAATGAATTGATTCAGTGTTTGATCATTGGTTGATTAATTGATTATTGATGGTGGTTTAATTGAAGGGTGAAGTAATCAAAGTGGAACTAGAAAAAGGACCTCGTGGGTTTGGGTTTAGTCTTGCGCCTCCTTCGTCTGAATCACAGGTAATTACATAGCAACTGTTAGTCGCATCGAGTCTTTAGCGAAATAGCGCACCAAAAACTGTTGGATGATATAGGCAGCGAATCATTTTCCTTGTTTCAAATATTTTTCTTGTTCTTGGCTCTGATTTTGGAATAACGTGCTTGTTTTCACTTGTCTTTAACGACGCTAAGCTAAAAATTGTTTTCAGACTCAGGGTATATTCATCAAGACCATAAGTCCAGGGAGTGTCGCCGAGAAAGATGGGCGACTTCAAGTTGGCGACCAGTTACTAACGGTAAGTTTGATGTTAGGTTATGAACTCACCGAACAGGACTCCTTTTGGGAGTGTTTTTTTTAACTGTGAACCACACGGTAGCGTGTGCAGTGCTTGGTGTTGGTTTTTGGGACATCTTGTTGTTCACCTTGACCTTTTAAAACGGATAGTTCCCTGTAGTGTGGACATGGACTGATTGCTTGCACCAAACTCAAACATGATTGATATATCGTTTTATTAGTTTTATATAGATAATTTCCTGTTTTATTGCAAAAATAACTCGTGTCATAATCAATGGTGCATTTTTTGCACTCGCTTCGAAAAGGTGCCGTTTGAAGCCCGCCGGAGACCGCAAGGCGATGCTAAAAGCGTCCGTAATAAAGATACTGTCGTCTATTAATAGTAATATTCATTGGATTGTAGCCCTGACTTACATGACCTTGTGTCTATTATTACCACATTGTAGTTATATCTAACATTCTTTGTCACAGTGTATTTTACCATATGTCTGTTTTGGTTCTTATAGGTGAATGAAGAAGATGTCCGTGGTCTCAGCCATGCTAGGGTAATAGGCATGCTACGTAAAGTTACTACAACTGTTACACTCGAAATAAGAAGGTAACGTTCTATTATTACGTACGTAAAACTGCCACGAAAAACGCGCTAACCGCCTGCCGTTTCGTAAACGTTACGTTATATGTTTACTATAGTTAGAGTTACGCCAGGAACGATTAACATTAAGTACGTTTAGTGCTTGACTCTTTCTAGATCGAGCCTCTTGTTAATGGGGGTACTATAGTATTGAATTATTATTGGTGAATTCCTCGTATTTTGTTTACTGTAGTGAAATCGTCTTTTTAGTGGTAAGGGCATTTTGCGTTGTTAAACAGACATATTGATTTTTTGTACCAAAAGCAAAAAAACAAAACAAAACAAAACAAAAGCGAAAAGGAAAAACAAAAATTTTGTAACAAGACTCAACTATCATTCAACATGAAGTTAGATATAGTTTAACTAAAGTGCTTTGTTTTGATTTAGCGTAATTTAACACAAATTAAAACGGTCCAAATATGTCGGTAGCTGTGGATTGCACCTTGAAGAGCAGATCGTTCGATAATCTTGGTTTATGCTTACGATAAGATGACTGAGACTGAATGATAGATCGGATAAATAAATCTGAATAGGTAACCTTATATACCCTGAATGACCCATTGGCGATCTATGGATACATACATTGGATGTTAATGCTAGGAACAGTTTTTTATGCCCATAGCTTTCCATCGCTAATTTTATGTTTGAATTCATGCAAGACTATCAAAAACGTGGGGAAAATTTAGGTTAAAAACTTTGCGCCGTGACAAAAAGATTTCTTGTCCTCTTCCTGTTATTTCCTTTGTGCTTTTATACAGTTTTTCACTCTCATTACGTTACACAAATTTGTTGGCTGCTCGGATACAACGATTTCTTGCGTTTGACTTAGCAATTGTATGGTATTATTATGAGTTTGCAAAAAGTCCGAATATAGTTTACTTTCACAAATACCGATCTTTCAGACTAACTATCCATCGTCAGGGTAATAAAAATGGCATTACCATGGCAATGAGGTATGCCAAAGGTTATAGAGGGGTTCTCGCAAGAGGATACATATTGAATAAGGTCATATCATATCATTACCTATTTAGGCCTGGCGATAGTGAAAGACCAAGTAAACAAACAACAAGCACTGCATCTTTAAAGAATGTCCGTAGTTCACCGCCACTCAATGGTGTGGATCTTGATATAACATTAGAAGATAAAAAGGTAACAATATACTAGCAGTCATTGCTAGGATTATAGGCCGGGGATTATATTCACTGTTCTATAGGTTCTAACTATTACATCTCTCAACTATGTGGAAGGATTTTCATTTGACCGTGAAAGTCTTGCAGTTAGTGGTGCATTCTGAATCTGTTTCTGTCTTCTGTTCGCTTCCTAAAAATACTAACTAAATATTCGTTTTTCACGGTCAAGTGAAAAGCACCATAATCCTACCAGCTATGCTCAAATTCTAAATCTGCGTCTGTGCGATCAAATAGGCCTTTTGCATGAAACGGTCACATGGTACAAAATCCGCCATACTGGATTGCAAAATACCCACTGGGATGT